CACGGTGGGGGAGGAGGGACGGTGGGGGTGTACTCATAGTCGTGCATGCCGTAGTCGTTAGACCATTGACCTCGCATCCCTACAAAGCCGGGACGGAGCACGCCGGGTTCTCACCGGACCAGGCTCTCACATCACCAAGCGCGAAGCGCCGTGAGATATTCGGCGAGTCGCATGAAGGGTGCGCTGCATCCTGCTAAGGGTGTTCGGCATCTTGTGCTTACTTCCTTGCGTACGGATGACAGCTGCGTATGAATTAATTTATTTTCTGGTGCTTTCACTTCCAGAGACAGTTGTAAGCACTGTGTAACTGCCTCGAGGGTGCTTGACCATTTTAACACAACGTGGTGCGATCATCCCCCTTGCGCGGAGCGAGGGTTCTCCACCCCGCACAACATGATCTACTCGACCACCATTATGGTTACCGCCAAAAACAAAAACCGGAGGTACAAAAAAAAAAACGGTAACCTGGTTGCCGGAGTTCACGAAGTGAATTGGCTTGTTTTACAACGTCTTTGCCAAGCGACGAAAACTCAATCCCGATGGCAAACACCGGGGGGGAGGGGGCGGCTTGTTTTACAACGTCGTTGCCAAGCGACGAAAACCCAATCCCGATGGCACACATCGCCGGAGGGAGTAGGAGTAGAGTGGGAGCGGTGACGGGTGGGCTGAGGGTTGCTGCGCTCTCCCGCTCTCACCAGGAAGCACAGCAGCGTGTAGAACAGCAGCAGTAGCGGGAAGGTGTGTGCGAACTGTATCGGTACCCACGTGGGGCTGAGCAGCAGGACCCCCCCTGAGGCACTTGTAGAAGCAGATGAAGGACACCAGGAAGGCAATGCTCAGGTTGCACAAACGGTGGTCCACACCTTGTTTGGCACAAAACAAGTGCAAAACACGACGGGCTATCAGATGGTGGGAATTGGGGGAGGGGGGCATGGTGGCAAAGTGCGTACACGCATCCATTCACCCGTTAGGCTCCAGTACAATCAAATGGCGCTGGTCACAACAGGGCAAAATTGCGCAGTGTACGAGGCCGTTCCACGTCTCTCCGATACGACGGAAGCACGGAGGCACCCGTCTCTATAAAACCACCTCGAATATCAATCTGAATCTCTGAGTGTACTGCCGCACGTACAAGGTTTCATTCATTCCTTGCCCGACAGTAGAGTGCAGACAAGTCTTGTTTGGACCTCGACGACAGACATAAGCGGAAGGAGTTGGGATCTCCTACATACCGCAGAGTCAAGACATGAACTCTCGATCAACCTAGGTCACGAAAGATAGGTACTACTCTTGCATATAGAAAATCTCTCTCGTGTCTTTCTGCCTGTCAAGTCTTTCTCTCTCTCCCCGTCTCTAGCTGTCATTTGTGTATCTATGTCTCTTCCATCACTTCTCTTTCACGAGGCCCCACGATCGGAGACAGCGCGATGGGCGGCTGACATGATCTTCTTCGTGTGTTTAGGAACTTACGTCCGCCGCGTAACACAACATTTTCGGACACTTTGTTGTCAGCTGGTCCCAAGGGCCAACCCCGGACCCTCAGGACCCGGAGGAAGATACCCGTCGTAATCGATGCCGAAACTCCTCCAAAACATGGAAAAACGACGAAACGATGGAAAAACAAAGTCAGATGAGAAATCGCTAATCTGATATTGTAGTGTGTCGACTGAGCATATCACACGCGTTTGGAGATGAGGGTGGATTCGTGACCATACGTCGGCACGGACCACCTCTACACATCGCAAAATATGTCTAACCCATGTTTCGCTCTTACGATTGGCTCGGGACGCGACACGGAGAGCATGAACATGCTTTGTAAGCTTGACCGTGGAAGACGCGATTGCCTTGCCCTGTTCCAAGTCTTGCCACCACGAAAAAAGGGGACTGTGAAAACACGAAGTACCATCTACCTCCCTTCTCTGTCTCTGTCACTGGGTGCTTTGTCTCTTTCTACGTGTGTCTCTCTGTCTCTCTCGGTGTGTCTCCCTTTCTCTCCCTTACCCGGATGTCGACCCCCCACATTTATACGAGGAGGGCGAGGTAGCCCAGCCCGCGGTAGATCTTGAAGACCGGGTGGTGCCACACGTCCTGACCGAAAGAGATGTCCGCGATGCAGTCCCACATTGCTCGCGCCTGCCATCATTCGTTGTCATCGTTTCAGTTATATTGTTTGTCAACTTGTTCATGCTTGAAACAAAACATTAATAACGTAAGCTGTTCTCGGTATATTGTTGACGTCTAGTGCTTTGAATGCACCCAGCAAAACAAGAGGCGGGACACTACTCTCAAGCAAACGTGCTCTGGAAATCGATGTCTTCACGCCTGAAACGATTGGCATGCTGTTTACTCTGTTCGTTACCTTTCAGTTTGGTGTGCGTGTGCTCAACAACTAGAAACAATGGTGGACTCAAATCTACGGTAATCGTCGGTAATTTTGCCGACGTTGTTTCACCACCTTGGTGGCACTTCCCGCGAAAAACGAAACCGCTTTCCGCCGAAAACGTACCGCCACATTCCAAACGCGCCCCGCCTGTGTCCCTCAAAAAAGCGGTAACGACGAGTACCTGACTTAACACCAAATCGTCCGCAAGAACGAGGAAGTCGATCTGCTGGCGAGATTGGTTAGTTGACAAACAACACGCCCTTAAGGGACAGGGGAACGACAAGCTGGCTCGATAAACGGAAACGGCTTTTGGGCACACCCCAAAAAAAAACCACGCGAGCACAACACACCAGCGTCTCTATACAATGGTCAGCCGGAGGTCGCCGTAGGTGACGCTACACCAAACAAACAACAGGCACATGTAGTTTACTTACCAGAGCGCCGTGGCAGCACCGAGGCGGCAACCGGAGTCGAAGCGCCTGTTTCCCCGGAGATGGCTGGACACCTTCAAGGTCAGGACCGTCGGCGCCACGTCGATGTCGTCGTTGCAGAACAGCGACGCGTACATTAGCTCCGCAGTATATCAACAAAACAAACATACGCAACACAATATTCTCTGGTGTGTCTTGCAAGAGATGCTAGATGGAGCAACACGGCAGCGTATCAGTCGTCCGCGTCACGTCGATGTCGTCGTTGCAGAACAGCGACGCGTACATTAGCTCCGCAGTATATCAACAAAACAAACATACGCAACACAATATTCTCTGGTGTGTCTTGCAAGAGATGCTAGATGGAGCAACACGGCAGCGTATCAGTCTGAGGCATGTTCCCAACCCGGGGGAGGCTGCCCAGCATCAACCCCCCCGGAGCAACACGGCAGCGTATCAATCTGAGGCATGTTCCCAACCCGGGGGAGGCTGCCCAGCATCACCCCCCCCCAACCACTCTTCGGGGCAATCTGCAATCGGAATGGGACGGCCTATAACACAAAGTCATTCATTTACGCAACTAGGGGAAGCTAAAACGTAATCAGAGAATACACTTGAGGACGTACTGTGCGACAGGGGTGTTTCCAACACTCTCCCCCCAGGGCGAGGGGAAATAACCAGCGCCCAGGCATTTGGGGTGGGTCTCTCACGGATATGGAGCCTCATACCGCCTCGACAAATACAACGCGTCGTGAAGTTGTGCAGCAACCAGAGAGCAAGCAGCAACAGGCAACCCCCGCTTTGCCTACCATGAACGATAGAAGCCCGTGGCAGGTGTCGTACAGCTCGACGATGAGGGAGGGCCACACGTACGGGTCTTCGGAGGTCAAGTCAAGTTTTCTTCGCCGCTGCTGTTGCCCATAAAGCCCATGCCACCGTCCACGTTGACACCACGACCACCACCTCTCCCCTGCTGCGAAGCAAGGCCAAATGGTGCCGAGAAGGACGGACCCCTGCCGGAACACCCCCCGTTCCCGTCCTCGCCCTCCTGTGAAGATGACGTCGTGCGCGCCATCGCGCTCGAGACTGATCTGCGCGGACTCTCGTGGCCCCGGTGCTGCTGCTGTTGCCGCCGCCGCTGCTGCCACCGTCGCCACTCCCGCCCACGACAACGTTTTCCTGATTTGCGGTCGTTCAGCCAGTGTGTTCATATCCTGAGTCAACGGTGTGGCCCAACGGTCCGAAATGATCAGCTGGTTGACAGCAGTGTGCACAGGAAATTTATTCGTTGAGACGAGCGCGCGGGGGAGGGGGGATACCTACTCCATGTATGCTAGGGCCGATGCTGAAGCGGGGACGCGGGAGGACGGAGAGGATAGGCAAACACGGTCGGCCCGCGTGTAGAGAAGATTATGTGGAAAAACAAGTTATCACACACACCAAGGGCGCACAAAACAAGTTTTTGGCGACACTTAATTAACCCCCACCCACCCACCCCCCCCGAGGGGTTTGACAAAAGTTGTTTTTTTTCATGGAATTTTTTTGTTCAGGCTTTCTTGGCTTTCTCCCTCTCCATTCCGTGTGCTTGCGTGTGGTGGTGTTTACAGCACGACGTGCACGCAGGACCTTGTTACAGGAAGGTGCAGATTGCTACCACCCTCAGCCGATCTATGTCTCTGACTGGACGTCTTTTTCGTCGGTGGGGGTTCGAGCCCAGGCAAGAAGCTAACTTGTTTTTCCATTTGAGCAAAATATTGATTTCGATTTTTTTTTTTTCGCTTTTAATTTTCTTGGCCCAAAGTGGCAGCTCAGTTTTTCTTTGTCCCATTGTCGCCAGTTTAGTTGAAAAAAACTGTATAATATGAAAAAACGTTGTTGCAATAGAAAGCCAGAGTGCCAGTTGTTGTTGTTGTTGTCTTCACATTAAACCGTATGTCAGTTGCTACATGCCAAAATCTAGCAAAAGACTCTCAGCCCGTGGTCACGAAAATGCTAGAGCCATCTGAGGATCTAAAGAACACGCACACATATATCGAGAAAAAGGTATCCAAGAGCCCGAAGAGGTACACCTAAAAATCCCTGCAGCACCGTATGCGTGCCCAAAAACTGAACTGCACGTCCGTCCCACCGTTCGACTACAGTAGCATCACCCCCTCCCTGTCCCACTCTATACCAAAACGGAAGATTGCCGACTACAGCATACTGCTGTCTGAAGTGCTGTCTGTACAAAAACACCATGGTAGGCATGGAACAAGCAGCTGGCGGGGCACAAAGCTGCTGTCTGAAGTGCTGTCAGAATGTGTCTGCGGCCGTACAGTGAAAAAGAACAACCAACCAAAGCCATCATTGCAGCAATTGACAATCACTCGAATCTCTCCCGATCGTCTGTGTAGGCACTGCAGTGAAAAATATCGACACTAGCT